CTTCTAAAGAAGAAAGCAGTACCTTTGGTTCTTGGAATCGCCACACATTCATAACACAAGAATCAATCATGGTCGTGGGCCCAGCAAGTGTTACCTAGCACTATAACTACTACAAGAGCTCCCTTCTCCTAGAACTTTTGTCGCTTCATGAACAAGTTTCATCAAATACGTTACTTGATGCCCTTGGCATCAAGGATGATCCTTGATGCGTCTTTAGCGCATCAAAGATATGGTCGAGATTCTAAAGAACATCTGGGAACTACTTTATAAGCTTGTTCGTAAACGTCTGAATTACTGCGAGTTTTTTTCACAGACAACGTATTGTAACAAATTCATTAACATATTCTAGTCATGATCGACGACCACGGCTAGTTATAGTTTGCTGACGACCCATCTTTAGATGGCTGAGGACATCTATGATGTTTAGGGCCACTTGGGTGGCGAGGGCCGCCAGAGGCAGCCGCCTTTGGCGGCCCTAAGGCGGCTGCCTAGAAGGCCAAAGGCCTTCGGATCTGAGGGCCCCCTTAGGGGCCCTAGGGACCCCTAAGGGGTCCCTGGGCCACCTTAGTGGCCCACGGGCCTTTGGCCCTAGACATCTTTGATAACCCTTTGGTTCTTTATAAATCAAAGGCCTTAGACACTTCTGGAAAGCGCTCTTTGACAAAAACGCGAAGACGCTGGAGTACATACTTCATGAACAAGTTCATAAAAATGAATTTTCATTCATTACATACAACAGCGCAATAACGTACGATTCCAAACTAAGATGCGTGGTTTTGTTGTGAACCCTTCATCAGATTGATTAACTCCACATCTAGAGTCGCGCGTAGTCGATAATGCAAAACACACAGGGCCAGACCCAGTGCTGTCTCGGCAGCGGCTGCCGTCATCACCCAAAGAGCCAGCAGCTGACCATTGATGTCGTCTAAAGCCACAGACGCGGTCAAAAAAACCAAATTAGCCGCTAACAACATGAGCTCAATGCATAACAACATAATGATTAGGTTTCGTCTGTTCAGGAAGGTGCCCATTGCACCCATCACAAATAGGACTAGGGGTGTAAAAAGGGCTACACCTTTGAAAAAAAACACGGACATTGTTGAGGTCACAAGGAACGTACTTAGGATTGCACCATCCTCCACCAAAGTTGGCGATGGCCCTTTAGTCATGGTCGATGACTAGGGCCGTTGGTTCGAGGGCCGAGGGCCGAAGGTTTAGAGCCTTTAGGCCCTAAAGGCCCTAAACCTTTGAGGACATAAAACTGCCCTTAGATCAGAACCATACCGGAACTTTTAAGTTCATACGGCTCGCCGGCTATCTTCAATGGAAAAAACCATGAGAAGTGTTTGAAGGTTTCATTGTTGTGTCTGTTTAAATTTTTTCGGAGTTAGCTTTGTTTGTGGTGTATCCCAAAGTTCTCAGTCTTTTCTCAAATGCAAAGCATTCGTTGGAGGTGAGTTCATTTATTTTTCTCGTCGCAAACTAAAGACCCCAGCCTTTTACCGACAGTAAATCTCTGATGGTCAAACGCTCTCTGTGTTTTTTCTCTGAAAAAACACTTTTGAACTCTCAAAAAGAAATCAAAAAAAATCAAAAGAGAAAGATGAAAATGAAAATTCATTCCTGCTGCACGGTAGGGTCAGAAGGATGTCCTTCACGCGCTAAGGCGCATGAAGCAGTGCCAAGGGGTTCCAAGGCCATGAAATTTATGGCCTTGGTTTTTAGGTTACTAAGATGGCCTTTGTGCCACCTGAGCTGGTGCGAGAGCCACTTTGGTGGCCCTAGCACCCTCTAAGATGTCTCACGGTTCACTTTGGTAACCTCCTTAAGGATTATCAAGCTGCCCTCAGAACCGTACGTGAACCTTTCAATTCATACGGCTCGCCAGAAAGTTAATGGTCGGTTATTTTTTTTTTGTTGTTAACTTTTCCTGCTCTCCTTGGGGAGCGCCAAATGATTTTTGCGCGGTTAATGTTACTTAACATTCTCCCTACTATGAGAGCTCCGTTCCCTAAGAATCTTTAGATTGCTTCATGAACGTGTTCATGAAGTTATTCGCTGATGTTCTAAAGAACATCAACCAAACCCTTAGGCAGTCCCGCAGTTCCGTTAATCATGTATACTTGTTGACGTAGGCTCCTGTAGGTCTTTACCACCCCGCTAGGTGGCTCCTGATTCACAAATCTTCGCTAGATTCTCCCCGGGAACGAAGGAGATATCTTTGTGTCAAATAATCCCTAAAGCGATATGCTTAATGCCTGTAAGGGCATCAAGAACATGGTCGGTGTTCTAAAGAACACCTGGGACATGCTTGACGCGTCTTTTGCACGTTAAAGAAATGCTTGAAGCCCCTCAAGGGCATCAAGGACATGGTCGGTGTTCTAAAGAACACCTGGGACATGCTTGATGTGTCTTTAGCACATCAAGGTATAGATTATTGTGGCTGTTTATCACGGACGACATATTTTCAGGTTCATTTTTTTCATTTATTTAGCCATATCAACTTTAGCTAGCCAGAGACTTCCAATTATTGGAAGTCTGGGGTCTTTTGTCCTACCCCAGCTCGGCTTTCTCTCCCGCTTAGGACTCGTCCGAAAGCATCCTGGGAGAGTGCTTTACTGCATGATGCGAAGACGGTGCAGGTGGAAATTATTCGCACAACATGAAAAACGGCGCTGCGGCGCACTTCCCGTACAGCAACCTTGTTACGACTTCATTCCGATTGCGGTGCACTCCTTGATAGACCTTTTTCTTTGGCAGCTGACCCGTTAAAAGAAAACCTTTTACGGAGGAACATAAAGGCTTCCAGATAATGGTTGATGGATCATTAGGCCATCAAAGATGGCCTACGTATCAACGTAATCCTTGAAACACTTAGCCCTAAGAGCTAAAGATCTAAAGGTCTTAAGCCTTTGGCCTTCGGTTTTAACCCTGCAAACGTAGTGTTCCAAGAAGTTCCTTAGACTCTCTGTGTTCCCTGTAAACCTACAAGGTTTAGACAAACTGCGAAAAGAAAAGAGATCTCTTTCCAGCACACACCACTTTCCGAACGTGACGGGCGGTGAATGCCCCGGGTAAGCCTCTAAGTTTCACCGCGGCGGGCTAATCCGCGATTACTGGCGATTCCTGCTTCAGATTGCTGAGTTGCAAACAATCATCCGTACTATGACCGTTTTTCCTAGACCAAGGCTTTCAACCTTGACGCATTGAAACGGTCCATGTCACACACGTGTAGCCCACTCCATATGGGCCATGATGACTTGACGTGGTCCCAGCTTCCTTCCCGTGATTATGAAATCTCTTAAAAGCAAACCTCTCGGTTTGTAAAAAAAAAATCACGAGATGTCTCGTATAGGCTATTATAGGTTTCTTTTCTCCACAGTTTTAATTTTTGTTGTTTCTTTTTTGTTTTCAAAGTGGAGAGTTTATCACTCGATTAAAAGTGATAAAGACCGCTATACTGAGCTAGGGAGATGCCCGTGCCCTGACTGGACGGTTTGGCACCACGGGCTGACGACAGCCATGCAACGCCTGTGCAAAATCTTAAAAAAATCAAAAAGAACTCAAACAAAGACAACAGTTCTAGCTCAATGGCTATAGAGGTTGTTTCAGAAACAGAGGAGTCGGACATTTAGAACGGTACTGGTTATTTTCTGAATTAATTATTTGAACATAAAAAAGGATGTGGTTGATGAACTTGTTCATCAAAGTAGAGGTCAAAAAAAAACGTTCTGGAGGTTCCATTAAAGAGGGTCCTCGATCGCTAAGGCGGCTCAGCCATCTAAAGATGGCCGTGGGCCCCGAGAGCTCCCTTAGGGGCTCTAGGGACCCCTAAGGGGTCGAGGGCCTAAGGGCCCTCCGGGCCACCGTAGTGGCCCACGGGCCTTTAGACCCTAGAAGACCATCTTAAATGGTCCTAAAACCGTACTGAAACCTTTCAATTCATACGGCTTGCTTGTTGATAGATTAATTCTCGGTTTTGAAGACAGGTGCAATGAACAAGTTCATGAACTTGTGGCTTGATGCCCCAAAAGAACATCAAGGATGTGCTTGATGCCTTCAAAAAACATCAAGGGTGTGGTCGATGTTCTAAAGAACATCTAGGAATTGGTCAATGTTCTAAAAAACATCTGGGTGAACTCTAATTCACAACATAAACAACAGCACTAGGGCCACCTAAGTGGCCCGGAGGGCCTTTGGCCCTCGACCCGAAGGCCCGAAGGCCTTTGTCCTTAGGCCTTAGAGTGCACGAAAAGAAAATCACGATCACACACAGACCCGTTTCGGTAGCAGACTAAAGCCCCGTACATGTATGGTCTTTGTTTACTCTCTCAGTGAGCTATTACGCTTTCATTCCAGACTGGCTGCTTCCAAGCCTATCTTCTGAGTGTCTATGCGAACAAAGCACCTATTCCACTGAGTCTGCGTTTAGGGACCTTAACGTGGTCTCTGGGTTGTTTCCCTCTAGGCTCTGGACCTTCGCACCCAGAGCCTATATGGGTTTGTAAATGGTCAAACACATTGACGGTTGCCACTGGAGAGTGGGAGCAGAGACCTCCCCGCACCAAAGACGCGCCCTGACTTGTTTTCCACAGCAAACCCTAAGCACCATTATGCTTTAGTAGGATAGGTAGGGCCTCTCGGCCTTTCCCCCCTTACGAACCGTGCATGCAACTTTCATTGCACACGGCTCAAACATGTCTCTTTTTAAACCATCTTTAGATTCAAATAAAAGGCCTCTAGTTTTCTATCACAACTTTGTTGGATAGGGTTGGGCTTCTTTTAAAATTGCCAGATGTTCCCTAGGTCATCTTAGATGACTAAAGCCATTAAAGATGGCCTTAGCCGCGACCGCGGCCCGGGGGGGTACCCCCCGAGAACATCGACCATGTCCTTGATGTTTAAATACGGCTTTCAATACTGGATTTTTAAAAAATAATTTGTTTATGGCATTCAGTTTGTTGCACCAGCAAATTGTTCACGTAATCTGTTTTTCTTCCTTTTTTAGGCAAAAAGTGATGAATTTGAGTGCTTTTATGGGGATGCATTTTTAGTTCACAAACTTTGTACTTAAAACTTGTTTTCTTAAAAATAAAGAGCTTTTTATTTTCCCATACATCTTTTCAGGTGAGGGTTTTTTCTTTCTTAGGAAAAGAGTCTTGGTTTTTTAAAGAAAAACCAAGAATTCCTTGGTTTGTCTTTGACAAACCCAAGATTCCTTTGTTTCTGAAAGAAACAAAGTTCTTGCTTTCTTCTTACAGAAGAAAGAATTCCTTGGTTTTTCTTTAAAAAACCAAGAATTCCTTTGTTTCTGAAAGAAACAAAGCACGTTTTTGTTTCTGAAAGAAACAAAATATTCCTTGGTTTTCAAGAAGATATGGGTTTTTGCTTTACAAGTATAGTATCTCCAGATTAATAAGCCACTGCAATGTTTATTTGGATTTATTTGATCATTAAATTGGCATGCTCCAATCAATATCAAACCAGTCGATTTTTTCAACCTTTTTACAGTTTCTTTTGTATAGTTCTTGACGGACAATCATTTGCCGTGTTCACCAAGAGCTTACTGAAAGGGTTTCGAAAAGCTTTAACTTTATGATTTGCAGCAGACACGCTCATTGAGTAAGTTAGCACCCTTTCAGGTTAGATTCTAAAATCCTATCTTCCTTATTACGAGGAAGCTTTTGCTTTTTACTCTGTCTTCTACCCACTAGGAGATAAAAAGCATTGCTGCTTTTCCTCCAATGTTTTTGGATCCTATTGGGCTTATCAAGTTCTACACCTTACCATTTCACAGCCTCCTTAGGATCCCACTATACTCCGGTAGCTTGTGGATTCTAAATAAGGTCAAGGCAAAGAACCTTACCCTGCTACAGCTTAAAAGAAAGGGTTTCACGAAGCTTCTCACGCGGGTTCACTTACGTTATCCATAGAGGTTTAACCTAGCTCTTAGAGAAGCTTTCTTCTTACTCTAAGCTACATTGTTTCCAGGGCTTCACACCCCTTGATTACTCACGACGCATGCCTGGATAGGTTCTAACTAAGAATCAAGTTAGGCGGGTTTTCACCGCAAGATAAGATGAAATTTCTTGTCGCACTCGCCAAAAACCAGCTATGCGCGGGCTTGATTAGCCTTTCACTCCTTTCCCTAAATCATCCCAGACCTTTACTACGGTCACGGGTTCGGCCCTCCAACGCGGTTCTTCACCGGTCTTCAACCTGTTCAGGGAAAGCTCGCCCGCCTTCGGGTGTTCTTGGAACAACTCAATAAAAAAATCAAAAACCCAACTTTCCACATAAATTAAATCAAATGACATGGATTCCTCAAAAAAGCTAGGCTCGTGGTAGAATGCATCTAATCGTGCGTCTCGCAACACTGTTTGTAACACGCAAAGGCTGTCACCACATGTTTCCACACTTGCGGTTGGTAGGGGTCAGAAGAAGCGTCCATAGGACAACATTTCATGAACTTGTTCATGAAAGGGTTTTGGACCAAGGGTCGAGGGCCTAAGGGCCCTCCGGGCCACTAAGGTGGCCCACGGGGGGACCCCCGGGCCATCAAAGATGGCCCTCGCCTAAGGGCCCTCGGGGGGGAACCCCCGGGAGCCGCCTTTGGCGGCCCTCGCCTAAAGGCCCCTTAGAAACCAAAGGGGCCGAAGGCTAAGGCCACTAAGGCGGCTGCCTAGAGGGCCACCTAAGTGGCCCTAGCCTTTAAGACCTAAAACTGCCCTCAGAACCGTACTTGAACCTTTCAATTCATACGGCTCGCCAATTATTAGATTCTAAGATGTATTTGTTTTTTCAAGCTATTTAAGTCTCCATCCATTTTTTTGCTTTCTAACGATTACTTGCGATTATCTGCAAAATTTTTGATTTCTTCTTCCAAAGCGACGCGTTTGATTGATGCAAATTTGTTATGATGTAAAACACTATAGTGTTGTTCACATAGATCACATGCTTGATACGCTTGAGCCATCACAAACTGCTTTATGAACTTGTTCGTGAAACACATACTTGATGCCCCAAAAGCTTCAAGCAGAAGCGTCAGGAACAAGTTTATGAAGGGCCGGTGGCCCTTGAGACACTAAAGTGTCAAGCCACTTTTGGTGACTAGAGGGTCTAAAGACCCTAGAAGCCCCGGAGGGCCGCCAAAGCGGCGAGGGCCCCCTTAGGGGCCCTAGAAAGTTACCTCAGTGGCTTTAGGCCCTCTAGTCATGGTCACTGCCTAGCCCGGGGGGTACCCCGAAGGCCTCTGGCCTTAGGGCCACCAAAGTGGCCCTCGGTCGACGGCCTTGCCAATTTTATATAGTTTTGCAATCTTAGCGAAATCAATCCCGTTGAGGGTTTCTTTAGTAGGGTCCTTAGTAATGTTTTTTCTTTTTGCAAAGAGATTGACTTGTTCATGAGGTTATTCTTTGGCTTGCTTCAACGGCACATAACTTGTTTGTAAAATTTAACTTCTTTTTGCGTCATTATGAACTAGTTAATGAGATTATTCCTGGTTTAAACTCAATTTATTTACACACTACGATCAAGTTTTCAGGGTTACTGATATGATGGATTGTCGCCCAGTTAATAAATCAAGATCTATTGTGTTCTTGGTTACAGGTGGGACTTGAACTGTACTCACATCACTATGTACGAAAGTCATGATAAGATAGCGCTTGTTAGGCGTGATCATTATGAGTGTTCACCTTCAAAGCTAATAATCTGCTCTCCTTTAGAAGTGCAAATGTTTTAAGGAGTGTTATTGGTTAGTAGAGTAATTTGCTATCTAAACTCCGGTTCCTTTGCACGGTTAGTATTACCTAACATTGTCCCTACTATGAGAGTTCCGTTCCCGTCAAACCTTTCGGTTGCTTCATGAACTTGTTCATGAAGCATATGCATCACGCGCTAAGGGCCGTCTAGAACGGCCTAACACTATGGCTAGGCCGTCTTTGACGGGCTAGCCATCAAAGATGGCTCGACATCTTTGATGTCCCCGCCATCAGAGATGGCTCGACATCATAGATGTCGAGCCACCTTAGGTGGCTAGGCCGTCGAAGACGGCCTAGAGTCACTTAGGAAGGCCTTAGGGCCCTTGTGACACTTTGATGTCGAGCCACCTTTGGTGGCTAGAGGGCCGAGGGCCGCCAAAGCGGCCCTCCGGGGCCCTAGCGCCACCTTAGTGGCGCGGGGAGTACCGAGGGCCACTTAGGTGGCCCTAGAGGGCCTTTAGGCCTTAGACCCTCGCCATCGACCATGGCTAGCGCATGAAGCAGGGCCTTGACGATCTAAAGATCATCAAGCATGTCCTTCATGAGTTGGGACGCACGGAGCAAGGCCTTCATGAGCAAGTTCATGAAGCAGGCGTTTTATGCGCTAAGGCGCATGAAAGATATCCCAGATGTTCTTTAGAACATCGACCATGTCCTTGAAGCACTCAAAGTGCATCAAAGCAATCCAGCAGTTCCGTTGTTTATGCGATTTATTAGGTTAGGCTCCTGTACGTTTGCGTAATCTGGAAAAGGGGGTCCAGGTGCACTATCTTCGCTAAGCTTTGCTCCTCTATCATAGGAAAGCCATGTGCCTAATTATTCCTGAGAAGAGGCTTCATGAACAAGTTCATGAAGGACATACTTGGTGCACTTTAGAGCATTAAAGCATGAATTACAATGGCTTCTTCACGGACAACGTATTAAACAGGTTCATTATCTTAGCCATACCAACCGTAGCTTGCCAATGAGTTTTGTGGCACCTTTAGGGCCATTTAGGTGGTGAGGCCTCGGACATCATAGATGTCTAGAGCCACTAAGGTGGCGAGGGCTTAGGGTGTAAAGGCCCTCAGGGCCCTCGGAGGTACCTTCGAGCCCCGGAGGGCCGCCAAAGCGGCCCTAGGGCCTAAAGGCCCTCGGACCTTTAGGTCGAGGGTCTTTAGACCCTAAAGCCCCTTTAGGGGCCCTAAGGCCAAAGGCCTTCGGGCTCGGGGGTACCCGAGGGCCGCCAGAGGCAGCCGCCTTTGGCGGCCCTAAGGCGGCTGCCTAGAGGGCCACTTAAATTAAATAGCTCTAGCCACTCACACGGCTTTGATTCCCGCTTTGAACTCCATCGTTTCCAACGGCGTTTAAGGAAATGCTTCACTACAAGAACGCGAAGACGGTGTAGGTGAATTCTCATTCACTACATAAACAACAACACAGCAGCGCACGCAGAGCACACCCCCACACGTAAACCAATGTTAAAATTAGCACCCAGACCAAATCGACAAAGTGCCAATACAGGACGGCTAAGTCCAACGCTGTGGATTTGCCAGGGCTAGCGGTTTTTAAGGTTAAGAAACAAACTACCAGATAAAAGATCCCAATCATAACGTGCATTCCGTGGAATCCTGTAGAGAGATAAAATGCGCTTCCAAACACGGAGTCACTAAAAGTAAACGCAGCGCTACTATACTCTAAATATTGATATAAAGTAAAAAGAACACCTAGCACAATAGTTAGTAGCAAGTTCAACCCGCACGCAGTTCTTTGGCCCTGGTCCATGGCATTCTTCGCTGCGTTGGCACTAAAGTAAGAAGTCGCTAGCAAAACAGTGTTTAAGCTTGGACGACGAGTCCAATCAACAGGCACAATCCCTACAGGTGGCCAAGCCATTCCAATGCTGACAGTAGGCATCAACGCAGCGTGCAAAAAGGCCCATAGAAGGTAGGGGTCAGAAGGATGTCCTTGGGGGAGTCTAGGGCCGCTAAGGCGGCCCTCGTCCATGATAAACATGGCCGAACTCATTAGGGCTAAGTCGGCCGGTCGGCTGCTTAGGGTATCCGCCCTTTAGGGTTTATCAATCTGCCCTCAGAACCGTACGTGAACCTTTCAATTCATACGGCTCGCCGGAATCCTAATCAGAGGTGTGTGGGTGTTATATTCTATGTTATTTTCCTCAACTAAGACAGAACATGCCGCCGCCCCCTTCTCTAGTGGCGAATGGGGCCAGAGGCGAGAGCCCTCTTAAGGGCTCTAGAAGGCCGCCCAAGCGGCCTTAGAACCACCGGGGCTTCATGGCTGCTTGTCTTTCGTTGTTAGTTTTTCCTGCTCTCCTTCGGGAGCACAGGTTTTATCCTGTGCGGGTGGCGTTACTCACCATTCTCCCTATTTTTATCAGAGCTCCGTTCCCTGAGGGACTTTCGTTCGTTTCCATGGAACAAGTTCCTGTTTACGCTTTTATTTGATAATCTAGTATTGTGCATATATATTCCTAGAACGAGTTCTGAGGGGTGTATGGGTTGATACTAGGTATCCAATAAAACTCCTCCGGCAGTCCCGTAGTTCCGTTATGCATGCAAAATGTTGACTTAGGCCCCTGTATGTCTTTCCCATCCCGCTAGGTGGATCCAGATTCACTAGTCTTCGCGGGGTTCTCTCGTTGGTCGAAAGAGAAACCCATGTGTCATCCAATCTCTAAGGCGAGTTATAGATTGGAGCGTGCCTTTATCACGGACGACAAATTTACCAGGTTTATTTTTTTACAATTTTTTAGCCATATCAACATTAGCTCGCCGAAAGCTTCCATTAATTAGGACTTTGAGATTTGCTGGCTCGCTCCCATCTCGGCTTTCATTCCCACTTAGGACTCCGTTATTAGGCGGCATCCCGGGAAAGTGCTTTACTGCAACAAAGGGTTTTTTTTATTTTTTTTTTTTTATTGTTATTTCTCTTTATGCGAAGACTGTGCAGGTGGTTATTTCTCCCACGGCATGAATAGCAGCACGGCGGCGCACCCCCACAAAAAAGACGGCTTCAGAAACGATGAAGAGGATCATTCCTAAGTGCAATCCCTCTTTGACTCGAGACGTGTGGAATCCTAGAGTGCTCTCGCGAATCACATCTCTCCACCACAAAGACGCCGCATAAGCCAAAGTAACTAAGGCAACACATAGCAACAAGCCTCCCGCGGGATATTGATGAAAGTAGAGTACTAAACCACAAGCTAGGCATAGCAGAGATAAACTGGTCATTGCTGGCCAAGGGCTCAAATCTACCAAATGGTAGGGGTGCGGAAACACTAAGCCTGCTTTGGTTGGTTCAGCATGAATTTCATGTTGATTAGCTGGGTGGGCTGGCCCATGCTCTCCCAATTCAGAGAGAGATGGATGTTTTCCGTCCGCGCTTTCGTTTTTGGAGTTTGTTTTGGTTTGATTAGAAACATGTAGGACTTGAACACGCTGACTTCCTAGGATGGCAGCGTTTAAAGTCGCAATGTTGGCAATAAATCGGTGCACAGTCAAGAACATGGTCTTTCATTATTGTTTAAAACCCTTACTTTATCAAAAGTTCCAGGTTTATAACTCGATTCAGATCAAAGCTCTCTTCTCTCAAATCTACTCAAACACACTCAAGGGGCTGACAAAACTATGCGTCAAAAAATTTGTTAGGACAGGTTTGATGCCCTCTAGGGCCACTTAGGCGGCCTTCAGGGGGGGGACGAGGGGCCGCCTAAGCGGCCGCGAGGGCCACTTTGGTGGCCCTAGAGGGCCTTTGGCCCTAGACCCCTTAAGGGTTCCTAGAGGGCCTTTAGGCCCTAGGGCCCCCTTAGGGGGCCCTCGCCTTTAAGCCCTTAAAACCCTTTTGGTTCCTTTAGGGTTTTTAGGCCCTCGCCCCCGCCTTAGCCATCTTTGATAGCCAGCTATTTTTGATGTTCTAAGATGTTGAACTGAATGAAGTGGATGTTTAGGGCCACTAAGGTGGTCTTTTTGGTTCCTTAGAGGCCGAGGGCCTTTGGCCCTCGACCCTCGGCGAGGGACCCCTTAGGAGGAGTCCCTAGAGGGCAAAAGGCGAAGGCCTCCTAGGGGCCCTAGAAGGCCGCATAAGCGGCCTTAGGCATCTTTGATGACTTACAATGTTTCTGGTGAATTCCAGTCCAAAGCGCCTTTCCCCCATTCATACACGAAGCCAACCACAAGAACAGCTAAGAATAAGAGCAGAGCGGCAAGACCAGCCCAACCAGAAAGCACTCCTCCGAGAGCCCAAGGAATTAAAAAGGCTACTTCCAGGTCAAAAACAAGAAATAGGATAGCAACCAAGTAAAAACCCACATCAAAAGGAGAACGCGCTTCTCCAAAAGCGTCATAACCGCACTCGTAAGCCGTCAGTTTTTCCAGGTCCAAACGTTGAGAAGAGCATTGAGTTGCTGCCCAAAACATCACAACACCCAAAACAGTCGCTACCATAAAATAGACGATGACACCTAAGTACTCAATCATAGAGTGACTTTGACAAAACCTCGACCCGAGGGCCAAAGGCCCTCCGCGCCACCTTAGTGGCGCAGTAGACACGGTCGCTGTCTAGGGCCACTTGAGCGGCCCTCGCCATTTTTGATGGCTAGGCCGTCTTCGACGGGCTAGAGCCGGCAGGCCCTCGTCCCCCTCTAGGGCTCCTAAGGGGCCCTCGCCTTTGGTTCCTAAAGGAACCAACGAGGCCCTCAGCTACTTTGATGGCCCTTGTACCAGCACAGCCGATTTTCAGGTCATGGAGACACTACCACAGTTTGCTTCTGTTGTTTGTAAAGGATATGGTCGATGTTTGTTAGGTCATCCAAAATGACGAGGGTCATCACAGATGGCCCTCGGCCGCTCTGTCGGCCCTCTAGGGGCCGCCAAAGCGGCCTCGAGGGCCCCCTAAAGGGGCCCTAAGGCCAGAGGCCTTCGGGGTCCCCCCGAAAGCCACCTTAGTGGCTTTAGCCATCTTAAATGGCCCTAGAGAACATCTGGCAATGATTGTTGAGAATTTCATCCAAAATTCTTAAAGAAAACAGATTAGGAATATTCTAGAATTGTTGCGTGGTCAAGGTTGATTCTATGTGGCAAGGCTGTGCTTCCACAATTATTGACCTTTACATTTTATTTGAGAAAACTCTTTTCGTAAATAAAAAGTTCGTAGTCTTTTGATTAGGAGCTTTAAGATTTAGTCGGGTAGCGGTTTGTTTTCAACACCGCAACAGCGCACCAGAAAAAAAGCACTCTCCAAGTTCGAATTGAACGAACGACCCACAGATTAACAGTCTGGCGCTCTACCCCTGAGCTATTGGAGATCAACCTTTGAAAAGTCTGATCGGAACAGAAATTTCTACCAGAATTTTACCAGAATTCTACCAGAGTTTTATGAAAATTTCAATTCCAATGACTATTCCTATAAGAATACCCATTCACAGAAAAATCAAAGTACCAAGAAGAATTTTTATGAAATTTTAATTCAATACAGAATAAAATCCAAAAAAGAGCCCATAGAGAGATGATCTCTTTAGGAGCTAAGACTGTCCTCAGAACTGTACGTGAAACTTTCGCACCATACGGCGATAGCCCGTCTTTGACGGGCTAGCCATCAAAGATGGCTCGACATCTTTGATGTCCCCGTCATCAGAGATGGCTAAGGCCATTTTTAATGACCTTCGGGGGGGAACCCGAAGGCCTCTGGCCTTAGGGCCCCTCAGGGGGCCCTCGCCACCTTAGTGGCCCTAGGCCGTCTTCGACGGCCTAGCCACCTTAGGTGGCTCGACATCATAGATGTCGAGCTATCTTTGATAGCTAGCCATCTAAGATGTCCTCAGCCATCTAAAGATAGCTCGGCCGTCTTTGACGGGCTAGTCACCTTAGGTGGCTCGGACATCTTAGATGTTCTAGCTAGCGACCATAGCTAGCCATGGTCGCTGACGAGCCATCTTTAGGTGGCTTAGCCACCTAAAGTGGCTTGAACATCTACGATGTCGAGCTATCAACCATAGCTAAGCCGTCTTTGACGGGCTAAGGCCATTAAAGATAGCCTTCTAGAGCCCCTAAGGGGGCTCTAGGGGATCCGAGGGCCTTTAAACCCTAGGGGCCCTAAGGGGGGCCTTCGCCGCGACCGCGGCCCTAGCAAACATCCGGGACATGCTTTATGCGCCTTAGCGCATGAAAATAATGCTTGATGCTTGCATCTTGGAAATGGTCGATGTTCTAAAAAACATCTGGGAAATACTTGACGAACTGCCAAAGCCTCGTATCATGAACGTGTTCATAAAAAAAAACCTAATGAACGTGTTTATTGCGACGCTAGTCAAGAAAAAACAAAGAGGTACATCCAATACCTCATAAACAAATTCATGAAGATAAACAAACAATCAGAGAGATGCTTCATGCGCTAGGGCTTTTAGGCCCTAGGGCGTGTGAAGGCCCTTAGGATCTAAAGACCCTCGGCCTTCGGCCCTTTAGGTCCTAAGGCCCTGCTTCCTGAACTTGTTCATGAACGAAATGCTCCTTGAACAAATGCTCCTTGAACAAAGATGAAATCTCTCATAAACAATTTCATTACAACCAACAGTCAACACCAAACCTTATAAACAACTTCATAACACACCAACAGTCTAGGCTCTGGTTCATGCTCTCTAGATCATAGAAGATGATTTAGCAAGCATCAGGAAATACTGATGTTCTTTAGAACATCAGCAAAAACGGATGCCCTCTTGACTTGAAAGGCATCAGGAACATGCTTGATGACTTTTAGATCGTCAAGGCGAGAGCTCCCTAGGGGCCCCTAGAGGGCGAGGGCCTTTAGGCCCTAAGGCCCTGCTTTATGCGCAAAAGCGCGTAAAAGTCACATCTTATGAATAAGTTCACAAACGGCCACTAGCCACCTCTGGTGGGGTGCCTCTTAGGCATGCTTGATGCTCTCTAGGTCATTAAAGATGACCTAGCGAGCATCCAAATGAGTTTTCAGTCATAACATAAAACAACAGCCTAAGGACGCACACAGGTGACAAAAGTCACCTGAGAAATTCTCACAATAAGTGGTTATTTTTGCATTCAAGGAGTGGTGAGGTGTTTCGCGGTGTTTCGATTCTACCGCTATGTTCCACCGCCGGTCTACCCGGCAGCTTATACCTTTGAGTTTCAGTCTTGCGACCTTACTCCCCAGGCGAAGTGTTTCCGCAATTGGCTCAAACTTGGTTGTAGAGCAATCTGTCATAACTGGTTCGTCGAAGACGACACGAGGGGCCGCGGTCGCGTCCCTCGTCCATCAAAGATGGACCTCGCTATAAAAGAGAACCCACAACCAAATTTCACACTCATCGTTGACGGCGTGGACTACAGGGGTCTCTAATCCCATTTGGTGCACCACGCTTCCGCGGCTCGGCGTCAGTCTTAGAAAGGTAGGTGCCTTCGCCGTTGGCATTCACGCCCATATGCTTACATTCTACCGCTCCTTGAGCTGTTCTCCTACCCTTAGCATAGACTCGAGTTCAAGAGTCTTTCTCAAGAGCCTCGACCCGTCGAGGGAGTTTAAGAAAGGTTCCTGAACCACCTACCCGCGCTTTAGGCCTAGTCCAGATGCTCAACACTATCCCCCTCTGTCTTACCGCGACTGCTGGCACAGAGTTAGTCGGGGAAAACCGTGGAGATATTTCTCGATAAAACTCCATGGGCCAAAGTTTACAGCCAAAGGCCTTCTGTTGTTGACTTTTTCGGTTCATAAAAGTCCTTTTCACAGGCTAGCTTGATCAGGCTTGCGCCCATTGTCAAAGATTCTTCACTGCTGCCAAAAAATGTACGGACCTTGTTTCAGTTCCGTTGTGGCCATCCCCCGTTAAGGGAGGCTATGGATCCAGGGCTTGGGAAGCTGTCACCTTGCCCAACTACCTAATCCAAACCGGTTTTTTGCTTTTTCGAACTCTATCTTTCAGGCGTGCTTCTTTGAGAACTCTGGGTTTTTTCAAAACCAAAAGCTTTCAAATGGCTTCTCTTTGAGGCCTGGGAGAAGCTTTTACAACACACCTTTAAAAGGAATAACCCTTGAAAAAGCAAGAATAACCGGTCATTACGCACCCGGGCGCGTGGGGTTTTGGTTTTGGTTTTGGTTAAAATCCAAACCAAAACCCCATCACTTGCATGTGTTAGACCGCCTGCACGCGTTCGAGCAGGGCCAGGTTCAAACCCTTTAAGTTCTTTGGAATTTCTTTAGAGTTTGTGTGGGAACACTTTAAAGTAGGAGTCAGAAGAAACGTCCATTGGGATGACCGAGGTTCATTGGTTCTAGCGTTACGACCATAGCTAGGCATGAAGGATTGTTTTTTTTAACTAACGGCATAAACAACAGCACAAGGGCACACTCTATGGACTCTAAGCCAAAGACCCCGAGCGGGAGTGACGGGACTTGAACCCGCGGCCTATGGCTTGACAGGCCATCGCGCTAACCATCTGTGCTACACCCCCTGTTCTGTTCTTTCGTACTTAGTGCTTTACTACATTACGCGAAAACAATGCAGAACATACTTCGTCAACAAGTTCATGACGACGAACAGTTAAAAATATGCTTGATGCCCTTCAAAAGCACCAAGCATATCTTTTATGCACGAGGGCCACTTAGGTGGCCCTCGGCCTTTAGGCCCTAAAGCCCATAAAACCTAGATATTGAAATTGAAGATAGGCAGTTAGATGACACTCCAGAGGCTAGAGGCTGTTTTCGGCTAAGGACTTCGTGAAGGTAGAAACTGGCGAGCAAACAAAACACTCCGCTTTGCAGCACGCAAACAATCGCTTCTAACCCAGATAGTGCCATTAACAAGCCAGCTGCGAGTGCAGTCACAGGTGCTCCAACAAGGATGTTGACACAAAGGGCAGGGACTAACGCCAAAGCAGTTACTAGATGAATTAGTTGATGACCTGCAAGCATGTTTGCCCAAAGTCGAACTCCCAGACTGATTGGTAGGGGTCAGAAGAAGATGGTTATGTCCATGGACCAGCTACCTAAACGAGTTCAAGTTGCTATCTTTAGGACCTAATACTGCCCTCAGAACCGTACTTGAATCTTTCGATTCATACGGCTCGCCATAATGTCAAACTAATATTATGTAATTTGACTTACTGCTCTGCTTCGGGAGCCCGAAGCCAACGAGTTTGGCTTCGCGCAGTTAGTGTTATCTAACTTTATCCCTACTATAATCGCTCCTTCCCATAGGACTTTCGTCGCTTCATAAACAAGTTTATGAAGTTGTGCCTTCATGCGCTTTGGCAGATGAAGTTATTCCTTGATGTTCTTTAGAACATCAACCATATCCTTAGGCAATTTTGTAGTTCCGTTGTTCGTGTGTTCATTCGGGTTAGGCACCTGTATGTTTTAGCTATCCCGCTAGGTAGCTCTTAGGCTATAAGCCATAGCTAGGACCACTCGCCACCTCTGGTGGGGTGGCCGTTGGTTCCTAAGGGTTCCTTAGGCCGTCAAAGACGGCCGAGGCCGTCTTTGACGGACAAGACGTCTAGGACGTCTTGCCATCATAGATGGCGGAACATCAGAGATGTTCCGGCCGTGGTCGACGGCCCCCACATCCATGATGTCCAAGCCACCTTAGTGGCCCTGCTCATGGTCCATGTCTCCGACCACTGGGGTGGCTCACAATGCACTATCTTCGCTATATTACCCTTTTCGAGCGTAGGGTAACCATGTGTCAAATAATTCTTAAGGGAGAAACTACTTCATGAACTTGTTCGTGAAGCACATACTTGATGCCTTAGGCCGTCTTCGACGGGCTAGCCACCTTAGGTGGCTCGTGCATCTAAGATGTTCTAGCTAACGACCATAGCTAGCCATGGTTGATGACTCGGACATCGTAGATGTCAATGTCGAGGGCCTCCCGACCCTAGCCTCGCGGGTCCCCCGGGGCCTTGGGGCCCAGGGTCGAGGGTCTTTAGGGACCTCTAGCCACCAAAGGTGGCTCGACACTTTAGTGTCCCACGGACCGCTTTGGCGGAGAGGGCCCCCTTAGGGGCCCGGGGTTCCTAGAAGGCCATCTTTAATGACCTTAAGCCACCAAAGTGGCTCTTTAGACCCTAAAGGCCCTCTAGGCCGTCTTTGACGGCATCCAAGTATGAATTACCGCCATGCTTTATTACGGATGCCATATTAATTCAGGTTTATTAACTTTGCCTTACCGACGCTAGCTCGCCAACGATTGTTGTGACAATTAGAGGGCACTTTGTTGGCCCTTAGGGTCTATAGGACCGAGGGCCTTGGGACACTAGGGTGTCCCAAGACCCTCGGCCGTTGGTTCCTAAGGAACCTAAAAGCCCCCGAAACAAAGGCCTGGAGTCCGAAGGTCTTTAGTCCCTAAGGCCCTCATCACTCACGTGACTTTCAATCCCGCTTTGAACTCCACTGTTTTCAGTGGCATTCAGGGAAGTGCTTGACTACAAAAATACGAAAACAGTGTAGGTGAACTTTCGTTCACAGCACGCACCAACAGCACAACAGCACACCTCGAAAAGCATAGCTAATGGACTCCAATAACACAAAAACCGGAGCCATTGGCCAACTAGGACCACTGGGCAAAAACAGTTTGACAAAGCGCATTCCTTGACGTTGAATCCCTGCATAAGTAATTCCTGTGAGCAGTGCTAAGCTGAAACCTAATGTGGTTCCTGCTTGACCAGTGATCGCTTGACACAGCGGCACTAGTCCAAATAAATTGCTTGTTAGCAAGATGCTAAAAAGGTAGGGGTCAGAAGGATGTCCTTAGGGTTGTCTAGGGCCGCTAAGGCGGCCCTCGTCCATGCTGTGCATGGTCGAACTCATTGGGGCTGAACGACGAGGGCCCGGGGACCTAAGGTCCCCCGGGGCCCTAGGGGGTCGTTTAGGATATCCGCCCTTTAGGGTTATCAAACTGCCCTCAGAACCGTACGTGAACCTTTCAATTCATACGGCTCGCCGGATAGTTAAGCAAAAGGTTATTTCTTTTAACTATCCTGCTCTCCTTCGGGAGCACAGGTTTTATCCTGTGCGGGTGGCGTTACTCATCATTCTCCCTATTTTTATCAGAGCTCCGTTCCCTGAGGGACTTTCGTTCGTTTTCAAGGAATTATTTCCTATAGACGTTTTTTATTACTAGGTAATCTTATATTTTGTATAAGTCTTCTAAGAACGAGTTCTAGAGAATGTATGGGTTGATATTTGTAATAAAAACCCTCAGGCAGTCCCGTAGTTCCGTTATGCATGCAAAGTATTGACTTAGGCTCCCGTAGATCTTTCCCATCGGGTGGATCCAGATTCACTAATCTTCGCTGGGTTCTCTCGTGGTGCGGAAGAGAAACCCTTGTGTCATCCAATCTCTAAGGCGAGTTATAGATTGGAGTGTGGCTTTATCACGGACCACATATTTATCAGGTTCATTTTTTTACAATTTTTTGGCCATATCAATTTTAGCTTGCCGAGTGTTTCCAATTGTTGGAATATGAGATTTGCTCGCTCGAGGGCCACTTTGGTGGCCCTCCTCACCCCGGCTTTCATTCTCGCTTAGGACTCCGTTTTGGCGGCATCCCGAGAAAGTGCTTTACTGCAAAAAAGAAATTTATGACTTTCTTTTTGCGAAGACTGTGCAGGTGGTTATTTCTCCCACAGCATGTATAACAGCGCAACGGCGCACCACCACAAGCCATACACCGGTAGTTTTTCTTTGAACATTGTTTTGGAAAACCCACGCAGAAGTCAAACGATTGGTAGGTTCTGCCATGTTTCCAGAGCCGCGCAAACTTAAGGAACGGCTTTTCAGCTGAACACGCTCCAAAGTTTGGTTGTGCCAAAAAAGGCTGATCGCTTTACGCAAGCCCGTGATCGCAGTGTTACCTGCCAGTGCTTTTGCATGGTTTTGAACATGGGATCCTACTGCAGCTAATACTGCGAGAGTCACTGTTAATGCCCAAATATTGCACCAAAACACATAAGCCAACACGGGGAAGTGGAGGCTAATTAAGGGTACTGCTTGCCAAGTCTCCCCAGCAGAGGCAGCACACACGAACAAAGACCAATTCATAAAATCCTCTCTGGCTAGACTAAGGGTTGGCGTCTGTCGGGGGGTAACCCCCCCGGGCCTTAAGACCTAAAAAACCAAAAGAGCTTTTTTGAGCCCTTTAGGGCCCCCTTAGGGGCCCTCTAGGAAGCCGCCTTTGGCGGCCCTCGCGAGAGCCCCCTTAGGGGCTCTAAGACGAAGACTAGCGCCTTTTATTCGAAAAAGCAAAACTCTTTTGGGCACGGCAGGGCTTGAACCTACAACCTTAGGATTATCGATCCTACGCTCTAACCAATTGAGCTACAAGCCCTCTTTTCGAACAAAAGAGCGTCTTTTTTGCTGATGCCCTTAAAGGGCATCAGCGTTTGCTTGTGTTTTCGAAGAAAACACAAGTATTTCCTGATCTTTGGTTTCTAAAAAGTAGAGGTCAGAAGAAGCGCTCATTGCGCATGATTGATGCGCTAGGGCCCCCTAGGGGCCCTTTAGAGCCCCTAAAGGGGCTCTCGCCTTTGGCCCTCAGGTAATGAGAGGCCGCCTTAGGGAGCCGCCTTTGGCGGCTAAGGCCACTAAGGTGGCCTTCGAGCCCCCTTAGGGGCTCTAGAGGAAGCCGCCTTTGGCGACCCCAGCGGCCTCTAAGGCCACCCCACCAGAGGTGGCCTTCTAGGGCCTTAGGACCTAAAGGTCGAGGGTCTTGGGCCACTGGGGTGGCCCACGGGCCTAAGGGCCCTCCGGGCCACTTAGGTGGCGAGGGCCCCCTTAGGGGGCCCGGGGGGGACCCCCCGTGTGACACCTTAGTGTCACAAGGGCCTTCGGCCCTATAGACCCTAAGGCCCTCGTCATCTCTGATGGCTAGTCCGTCAAAGACGACGGTAAGCACGCGAAAAATATACTTCAAGCGCAAGAGCACGTGAAAAAAACGTTTCAAGCGCTAGGGCGCCTGAAGGAGTGCTTTGTGCACTCTAATAATTATACAACTTTTTGATTTCTTTTTAGTATGTGAAATCTGTGTTTGTTATCAGTGTTATCTAGATATTGAATTCGATTGACAGGCCTACCTCTACAGAGTTAAGCAGCTGTTCCAAAAAACTCGCATGATCATGTTGCAAAAGGCACCTTGGCACTTCAGAAAGCGTCCAAGTGTATGATTGCACGAGGTTTCAGTTCTGTTTCACTACAACCAGGAGGTTGTTCTTTTCACCTTTCCCTCACGGTACTGGTACACTATCGGTTACCTGCTTTGATAAGATTGGAGGGTGGAGTCCCCCATTTTCAATTCGACTCTGACAGAATTGTGGCCTTGAGGTTGCCAAAGCTGGCTTCATAACTCAAACAAACCAAAGCGGTACCAACTCAGTGGTTTCTGCTTCGTTGTATTATTTTTTTTTGTGCCAATTGTTTTTATTTGTAAAGAGTCTCTGTTCACAGAACAGTTTTTCGAGTGCATCTTTCTTTTTTGCTATCATCGCCCTACAGGGCTTTCACCTTCTTTGGCAACTGTATTCCAACCAGGCAGAAGACCACATGGTTTTCTAAGAGAAAACTGAATTGTCCTCTGTCTAAAAGTTTCGGGGATAGTTTATTTTAAAGACCACTTGATCTTTGATAACGAAGGCCTTCTTTGGCCGATTTCGCTCACCGCTACTCTCGGCTTCTCGGTTGATTTTGTTCAAGCTGCTCTCGGTGGTTTCCATTGGCAGTTTATTAGCCTTGTGGGTTTCCCTTAGGAGATCCATTGCAAAACTCGGCAATGGCTTTTCGTGGTCTAACGTCCTATTCACAGGTACCAAGGCATCCGCCTCGTGCATTGATTTTACGAGCGGATAAAGGAACTCGAATCCTTAACCTCCGGTTTGGAAAACCAGCGCTCTAACCAATTGAGCTACATCCGCACGGCAATAGTCATTGACCATGGCTAGGCCTTCTTGGACGGGCAAGGGCTAGGGCCACTTAGGTGGCCCTAGAGGGCCTTTAGGCCCTAAGGCCCCTTTGGTTCCTAGTGGGGCCTAAAGGCGAAGGCCTCTGGCCTTAGAGGGCCACGAGGCCGTCTTAGACGGCCTAGCCACCTACGGTGGGTGGCCCTAGAACCAACGAGGCCCTGTAGCCAATACTCTCACTAAAAAGTGTCTGGTGCAATTTGTGAGGTCTTTACATACTCGAAAGACAAACTTCATTCAAAAAACTCATCAATAAGCGCAAAAAGCTAACAACAAGTTTAGCAAAAGCCTGACAAAAACTTTTGTTTTTTGTGAATCCAACAATATCTGCTAATCTCTGATTGTTTTAAACAATGTTAACTTGATCACACGCCAAATCCTTACTTAAATCATCCAAAAACTCTTTTATTTTTTTTTCAACTCTAGAGTCTTTGATAATGTTCATGATCTTTAGCCCCCGCTCATCTGTGCATTACGTTGTTATGAAGTCATCAGATTTATACATTTTATAAGTCAAACTTGAACTTGCTGGATTTGTTTGAAGACGTTCAGTCATAATCATAACCAGAGCTTTCGTTTCAGAATAACACTAACCTTCATGCACTAAAGACACATGAAGCATATTCCAGATGTTCTTTAGAACATCGACCATGTCCTTCATACGCTAAAGCGCATAAAAGAAAAAGAGCGATTTTCTTTTAAATCGACTTTTTGTTATAAGCAGGACTTGAACTTGTCTGATTGGTTTCAAAGCGTCCAGTTATATTATAGTTAAAGTGTTCGTCTAAGAATAACACACAACCCTTTTGGTAGCGGTTAGAGCTTTTAGTTCTTTCTAAAAAACTATGCATTCGTTAAAGGTAAGTTTCTTTTGATGTAAAGCATTCTGATGAAATTGACATTGAACATCCTTTATGTGCTTAAGCACATGAAACCACAGCTTGATGCGTTTTTAGGGCCCCGGAGGGCCGCTTTGGCGGCCCTCGGCCCTTGCGCCACTTTGGTGGCGCGCGGGGGGGAACCCCCGGGCCCCCCCGTGCGCCACCAAAGTGGCGCAAGGGCCATCTTTGATGGCCCTCGCGCGTTAAGAATATCTTTTATGCGCTTTAGCACATAAAGCTTAAAAGTGATGCTGAGGGCCGTCTTTAATGACCCTCGAGATTGAAAGGTCCAACAACAAGTCTGGGTTGACTAGGGACTGTTGGATGTGCTCTTTCATTTGATAAGACCAGAACCACTGACGCCCGACCACTTTGACTGTGAGTGCTGGTTTTGCCACCAAGTCATCAAAGGTGTAGATCAAGGTTAAAGAGGGCAATGCAATCAGGGTTACAATTAAACTTGGTAAAATGGACCACACCAGTTCCAGATTGGTGTGGTGCGTGAATCGTTCTGTCTCTGGTCGTTGTGTACGATGAAAGCTCGTCACAATACGGCCGCCTACCCACAAAACTAAAACCAAGATTACTAGTAGGGGTCAGAACAGGGTCCATAAAAACTCTCTCTTCGAGAAAATCTCCTTAGGATATGCTTGATGCTCGCTAGGGTCACCTTAGTGGCCTCAGGCCCTAAGGCCCCTAGAGAGCATCAAAGGTACTTAAACTGCCCTCAGAACCGTACTTGAACCTTTCAGCTCATACGGCTCGCCCGCTGTTGAATAATAAAGTGTAATTTGACTACCTTATATTTCTTAAGGTTTTCATCTAATAGTCACCGCTTAAAGATTATGTAATGCCTTGAAAAGTGGCAATGCAAAAATTTATTTACATTACTGCCTTTTCGACTCATAACAGAATTCTTGCCCCGGCTTAAAGATTGAGGGCCACCCCACCAGAGGTGGCGCGGGGACCTAAAGGTCCCCCGGCCCTGAGTTCACCTTAAGACTAACAACCTGCTCTCCTTGAGGAGTGCAAACCCTGAGGATATTCTTTATGCGAGGGCCTAAAGGCCCTCCAAGCGCATAAAACCACTGCTTCATGAACTTGTTCGTGAAAGGAGACTTTTTGTTTAGTTTGATGATTGGTTGAGTGAAGCCCTTGGTTTTGCACAGTTAGTGTTACCTAACATTATCCTTACTATGAGAACTCCGTTCCCCTAGAACCTTTCGGTTCGAGGGCCTTAGCGGCCTTAGGGCCTAAAGGCCCTCGGCCACCTTAGTGGCTTTAGCCATCAAAGATGGCCCTTGTGACACTAAAGTGTCACACGCGCCACCTTAGTGGCGCGAAGGGCCGCTTTGGCGGCCCTCGTCCATCAAAGATGGACCTTTAGGCAATCCTGCAATTCTATTGTTTATACGAATTAATTGGGTTAGGCCCCTGTACGTTGTCGTGATCTGGCTAAGTGGCTCAAAGGCCATTGTTGATGGCCGGGGGGGGACCCCCGGTCACCAAGGCCCTCTAGGGCCTCCGGCCCTAGAAGGCCTTTGGCCTTAGGGCCTTTAGGCCCTAAGCTCACCCCTGATGATCCATAGTTCACTATCTTCGCTAGACTTCCTTTTCCGGCAGTAAGGAAACCATGTGACAAATCATTTTTATTTAAAGATCTGACTGGGACTATTTTCACGAACAACATATATCAGGTTCATTAGCTTAGCCGTACCAACCCTAGCTTGCCAGTACTTCTCGTGGCTAATCAAGGGCCTTAGGGCCCCTTTAGGGGGCCCTCGTCGCAGCGCGAGGGCCAAAGACCCTAGAGCCGCCTAAGCAAGCGGCTCTAGCCACTCACACGGCTTTAAATCCCGCTTTGAACTCCATCGTTTTCAATGGCATTCAGGATGTGGCCAATGTTCTCTAGGGCCATCTAAGATGGCCCTAGAGAACATCTGGGAATTCTTTATGCGCCAAAGCGTATAAAAGGAAATGCTTAACTACAAAACGCGAAGATTGTGTAGGTGAATTCTCATTCACAACATAAACAAGAGCATTACAGCGCACGCAGGAAAAAGCAGATGTCGTGATGCAGATCAATAATACCCTCCATGCTTGCAGTCGCTGGGTCTTGAAAACCCATCTGCCATGGAGTTGGTGTGTCTGCAAAAGATTGCAACCAAACCCTAAATGTCAAAGTCATTGTTCGAGTTTTTTGTTTTTTTATCCAGTGCACACTCGACAAAGAAAAACTTATTCAAGACCCTGGTCGATGTTCGCGAGGGCCGCCGAAGCGGCCCGAAGGCCATCTTTAATGGCCTTAGTCATTCAAAATGACCTAGAGAACATCTGGGAAATGCTTAATGAACTTGTTCATCAAGCCAAGGGTGTTAAGCATTCTCTTTTAATTCACAACATAAACAATAACACTACGGCACACAGGCCTTTTCTTGGCTTTGTGTGTGCTTTCAATGGTCAGGCTTAGAAGGACTTGAACCCTCATTGTTGGTTTTGGAAACCAAAGTGCTAACCATTGCACCATAAGCCTAAACGTCATCACGTGATCACGTGATTAGAGCACCCAAATCATAGACCAGATTCTTCTAATCATAGAGTTCATAACGAAAAGAGACCAAGGAATTCTTTATTCTAAAAGAATAAAGCTATACTTTGTTTCTAAAAGAAACAAAGACAAACCTTCTGAAAGCAGTAATGTCGGACATCAAAGTTGACCTCGCACAGGCTGATGAAAAGACACCAACTCAAAACATAAATAACATCACACGGAGACTATGAGCATAGCAGGACTTGAACCTGCAACCTTCGCCTTGTAAGGGCGCAGCTCTACCAATTGAGCTATACGCTCTTTCTTTGGTCATCAATAGTTTTGATCTTGATTTGGATACTTAATGTTCATCTTGCTGCCCTTTAGGGCATCAAGCATATTCTTGTATTCTTTATTTCTGATGTTGACCTTAAACTTTTTTATTTTTGATGTTCACTTTGTATTCTTTATTTTTCATGTTTACCCAGAAGTTCGCTAAGGCCGTGGTCGCGGCTAAGGCCACTTTAGTCGCTTTCTAGGGAGCCGCCTTTGGCGGCCCTAAGGCCAAAGGCCTTCGGGCTACCTTAGTAGCCCAAAGCCCCCTGAGGGCCCTAGAGAACATCAGCTATATCCTTATATTCTTTATTTTTTATGTTCACTTTATACTTTTTATCTTTCATGTTCACCCTGTATTTTTCATTTTTCATGTTTACTCTATATTTTTTATTTTTCTATGTTCACGAAATATTTTTCTTTTTATCTTTCATGTTTATCCAGATGTTCTTTAGTTTCCAGATGTTCACTAGGTCATTTGACGAGGGCCATCTCAGATGGCCCTAGAGAATATCGACCATATGCTTATATTTTTTATTTTTTTATGTTCATTTTATAGTTTTTATCTTTAATGTTCACCCTGTATTTTTTACATTTTATGTTTACTTTATATTTTTCTTTTTATCTTATCTTGATGTCCTTTGAGGCATCAACCATATTCTTGTATTCTGTATGTTTTATGTTTTTTATGTTTTATGTTCACTTTTATGTTCACTTTATATTTTTTAGTTTTGATCTTTCATGTTTATCTTGTATATCTTGTACTCTTTATCTTTTATGTTTATTTTGTATTTATCTTGTATTCTTTATTTTTCATGTTCAACTTGTATTCTTTTTCTTTGATATTCACCTGGATGCTCTTTAAGACATCAAGTATATCCTTATATTTTTGATTTTTCATGTTCACCATGATGCTCTTTGGGGCATCAAGCATATCCTTGTATTTTGGATTCTTTTCAGTATCATAGTCATTGAGGGCTCAGGCCGCTTGGCCCTCCCCCAGTGACCCTAGGCCCGAGGGCCTCGGCCCTCGCCACCTTAGTGGCCTTAGGGCCTAAGGGCCCTCAAGGGGCCTTTGGTTCCTTAGGGGCCCTTAGGGCCCCGAGGGCAGAGGGTCGTTAGACCCTAAAGGCCCTAGAACCAAGGTCGCGGCCTCCCTCGTGGCGAGGGCCCCCTTAGGGGCCCTAGAGGGCCTTGGAGCCCTAGAGCCCTTTAGGGGGCTAGAAGGCCGGAGGCCTTCTAGGGCCCCTAAGGGGGCCCTCGCCACGAGGCCGTCTAAGACGGCCTAGCCACCTACAGTGGAGTGGCCTTAGCCCTCGGCCCCTAGAGAATATCAACCATGTCCTTGCTTATCTGATGTACTTAACGCGCATCAAGTTCTTTGCTTGCTTCTTTCATGAAAGGGTTCATGAATTGCTTACTTTCTTCACGAAAGGCTTCATGATTTGCTTGCTTCATAAAAGAGTTCATTAGTTGCTTGCTTCGTTTGGTTCATCTGAGAATTTTTATTTGTTTCTATCTGATTCTGAAAAGATCAAAGCACACAATCTGGTCTATTCAGTTCAGTTTATTACTCTTCTTGAAAGATCAAAACATCTGTTCTATTTGGTGAAGTTTATGACTCTTTGAGCCTTGACCTGGCAATACCACAACTATTATACCCCCCACCCACCGGAACCCAACTCCCTTGACCTTGACCTTGTCAGCCCAGCGTTCTTTTTGGTTTCAGATTGACCTAACCTTAACCTAACCCCAACACGTAACCTAACCCCGAACCCCAGCCCCAACACGTAACCTAACCCCGAACCCTAACCCCTTATCTACCTAACCCCTGAACTTGAACTTGACACCCCAGCGTTCTTTTTGGTTTCAGATTTACTGGACCTTTCCCTAACCCCGATATAACCCAACCCCGAACCCCAACCCCTTATCTACCTAACCCCAATCCTCAACCCCACCGTAACCTAACCCCGAACCCCAGCCCCAACACGTATTCCAACCCCAACCCCTAACCCCAACCTCGATCTAACCGAACCCCTAAACTTGAACTTGACACCCCAACTTTCTTTTTGGTTTCAGATTTACTTGACCTTGACAACCCCTACGGAACCCAAACCCCTACCTAAATCCGTTCTTTACCTAACCCCTGCGGAGTGGTATCTTAACCCATTATCTACTCAACCCCTACGGAACTTAACCCTACGGAACCTTTTCCCCAACCCGTTCTCTACCCAACTCCTTTCCTTACCTGAACCCCTAATCTACCCAACCCCTCCGGAACCCAACCCTACGGAACTCTTATCCCCTTCTTTACCCAACCCCAACCCTAGTCCCTAGCCCCCTAGTGTCTAGCCCTCTAGCCCCCTAGTCCCTAGCCCAACCCCAATCCTAACCTTTGTTGGCTCGGACATCTAAGATGTCCAAGGCCGTCTATGACGTCTTGCCATCTTTGATAGCTAGTCGTCTTTGATGGCTCGAACATCTTCAATGTTGAGCTATCTTCGATAGCGGGAACATCTTCGACGTTGAGCTATCTTCGATAGCTAGCCCGTCTTCGACGGTCTAGCCATCTTTAGATGGCTGAGTGGCCCTTGGGTTATTTTTGTTTTGAGAACCCAAAGACATCATGGTGAATGAAAATTCACCACGACGCAATCTCAAGAATTCAAGACACTATGGTGACTGTCTCACGTATTTTTCAAAAATGTTTAAGCCCTGTCAAGAAACATTGCACAAGTGGGAGAGCAGGACTTGAACGATCCAAAAAAGTACACAAGCTCATTCATTACTAAAGTGATGAGTTCGCTTGATTTTTTAAAGAGATTTTGAATTCTCAACGTAAAATCAAATACTTTGCATCAAGATTCTCAAGATTTATTATATGTAATTTATTTGAATTTAATCAATTCTTTTGAGGATTGAGGGCCCTAGGGTCTAAAGACCCTCGACCTTTAGGTCCTAAGGTCTCTTTGGGCCACGAGGGCCGCCAAAGGCGGCTTCCTACAGTGGCGAGGGCCCCTAAGGGGGCCCCGTAGGGCCTCCGGCCCTCGTGTGACACCCTAGTGTCACAAGGGCTCTAGGCCCTCGACTTTGGCCTTCCATAATGACCCTAGCGCCATCGTAGATGCCTAGCTATTTTCGATAGTTCGACATCTTAAATGTCGAGGGCCACCTTAGGTGGCTAGCCGCTAAAGCGGCCTTAAAGCGCATTAAACTTGCTCTACAACGTCCTCACGTTTTCTAGAAGAGGATCTTCTTTTATAAACAAATTCATGAAGTTGTGGCTTTATGGGCTTGAGTGCATAAAGTATGTTCTTTGGACACTTTTTCTGACTTTAACTCATCTTTGTTTGTGTTTCAACGCTTTTGAATTAAGTAGAAACAAAAGAATTGAAAAGACTCAATCCTTTTGAGTTCATTGGAAACAAAAGAGTTGAAAAAATTCAATCCACTGGAGTGATAGGGTTTGATGTATTCTCTGAAAAAAGTTATAAGCAGGATTCGAACTAAGAATGTTCAATCTTAACAGATAAGCTCGTTCATGATATGATTACGCACTGATTCAGTGATGAATTGACTTGATTTCTAATGAAATGATACATCATGAACTTGCTTTAGAAGAACACACTTTACAAATTGGTTTATAAAGGCGCCCTGATCGATGTTCTCTAGGGCCTAAAGGCCCAGCCCCTAAGGGGGCTCTCTAGAGCCACCAAAGTGGCCCTCGGACCCGAAGGCCTTTGGCCTTAGGGCCGCGGTCGCGGCTAAGGCCACTTTAGTGGCCTAGGGGGGCACGAAGGCCCTGGGCCTTAAGGACTCTTAAGGGGTCTAGGGCCAAAGGCCTTTGGAGGCCGCGAGGCAGCCGCCTTTGGCGGCCCTAAGGCGGCCCCTCGTAACCCTGAGGGTCCAAAGACCTTAGGGTCCTAAGGACCTTGCGCCACTTAAGTGGCGCACTAGGGCCTTTAGGCTCGGGTAAACCCCCGGGCCTAAAGGCTCGTGGGCCACTAAGGTGGCCCGGAGGGCCCTTAGGCCCTCGACCCCTTAGGGGTCCCTAGAGCCCCTAAGGGGGCTTTCTAGGGCCACTTTGGTGGCCCTCGAACCCGAAGGCCTTTGGCCTGAGGGCCCCTAAGGGGCCCTCGCTACCTAAATTGCCCAAGAGACACTTTAGTGGCCTTGGGCCACCCTTAGTGGCCCTCGTCATTTATGATGACCCTTTTAGCGCATCTAGGACATATTTCATGAATTTATTTATGAAGAACATACTTTATAAATTTGTTTATGAAAGACATGTTTCAATCAAATTGTTCATGAAAAAGTGACAAGCAGGTCTCAAACTTAAGATATTAAATGTTAATAGACAAGCTCGTTAATGATGTAATCGCGCAGTGATTCAGTCATTAACGAGCTTGATATCTAATAAAATTAGACTGTGTAAACCTGTTCTTAAAGGACATACTTTATAGATTTGTTTGTGAAAAACATGCTTGATCTGCTTTTGCACCTCAAGGCCCTGTTTCATGCGCTAGCCATCGAAAATGGCTCGACATCTAAGATGTCGAGAGCTTCTCAGCCCTAGCCATCTATGATGTCCTCAGCCATCTAAAGATGGCTCAGCCGTCTTGGACGGCCTAGCCATGGCCGCTGTCGATAATCATCGAAGATGATTCGTTACTTAAGTGACCTTAGACCGTCTATGACGTCTTGTCCGTCAAAGACGGCCTTACCTCGGCACTCAAACAGTTTTCATTTGAGCTTTAGGCTTCATGTTTTTCTATCACATCTTGGGGGCGCATTCAAAGCGAACACTTAGTCGATGAATTTTCATTCACAATACAAACAACAATGCAATATTGCATGAAGAAAGAACACACAAACACACAAATCTAAACACACAGACAGCATACAAGAACAGACGGAAAGAGCAGGATTCGAACCTGCGATCTCTGAAGAGATAACCCATTAGCAATGAGTCGCTTTAAACCGCTCGGCCATCCTTCCAAGTAGAATGAAGTCACCATAGATAGTAGGAAAGAAGCAAAAAATCAAGTCTAGAGCTTTTAATCTAGTTTGATTTAATTGACTTTTAATGAAAGGCAGAGCTTCTGATTTCATAAGGGCCTTTAGGGTCTTTAGGGGCCGAAGGCCCCTCGACCCTCTGCCCTAGCTATCGAAGATAGCTAGCCCGTCTCGGACGGCCTAAGCCATCAAAGATGGCTGGGGCTAAGGCCGCTTTAGGGCCGCCAAAGGCGGCTGCCTCGCGGCCCTCGGGCTTTTAGGTCCCAGGGCGAGGGGCCGCCTAAGCGGCCGCGAGGGCCACTTTGGTGGCCCTAGAGGGCCAAAAGGCTCTAGGGCCCCGAGAGCTCTTTAGGGGCTCTAGAGGGGCCCTCGCATGAAGCATCTCCTGATTTCATTGAAAGGTTGAAAAACTGAAGAAGCCAACGCGAGCCAATGACTGAACAAAACCAAAGGAGCTCCGTGCCACAGCAGCACCACCAAGAAGCCCCAAGAAAGAGCAACCAGGTAGGCACTGACAGGTGGGATCTCTCCATAGGAACCCCAATTTTCTGGATTCTCTACATAAGCGACTTTGAGCACTCGTAAATAATACACTGTGCTTAAGAGTGTTGCAACCAGTGCAATTCCAACCAAACTATAAAGGTGGCTGTTCAAGGCCCACCAGAAAAGTCCGAGTTTTCCTAAAAACCCTGCCACTGGAGGAAGACCTGCCAAACTTAGAAGGGCACCTGTCCAAGCAGTGGCGGCGGCAGGAGATGTTTGGTTGAGTGCAGAGAAATCCCAAATATATTGAGGACCTGCAAAGGATTGTCCGGGTCGACCAAAGGGCCACATTAATAGACCCCACATGGCTAGGTTGGTGACTAGATAAATAGCTAGGTAAGTCCAGAGTGCCGCGAAAGCCTCATGTCCTGCAGACAATGGCATCAGCAAAAACCCCATATGACCTACACTACTCAAAGCTAATAAACGCTTCAGATGGGTTTGTGCCATTGGAGCTAAAGCCCCAACCATTAGAGATAACGCACTAAAAACAGCCAGACCACTCCCAAAAGTGCTCTGCCATAATGGATGCCATGTATGAACCCAAAAACCTAGAAGGGCGATTTTGGGAAGAGTGCTTAAAAATAAGGTAACACAACTTACAGCTCCCATATATACGTCTGCAACCCACAAATGAAGAGGCGCTGCGGAGAGTTTCCACAAAAGTCCCATACTGACCAACCAAATACCTAGCCAAAGCCCAGCACTTGGCTCACCAGAGGTTGTTCTCAACAGTTCAACCAAATGATGACACTGCGTAAGCCCAGTTTCCCAATAGATTAAGCCAATCCCGAGCAAGAGTAAACAGCTACTGAAAGCACTCAACAAAAAGTACTTAATTCCTGCTTCTAAAGAGTAGGCGCTGCGATAGTCCATGCTACAAAGAACTACAATGGCAAAACTTTGGAGCTCAAGACAAACATACATGGCCATCAAATCCGTGGCACTGATCAGAAGGTGTTGTCCAAGTAAAGCAAGAAGTGTTAAAGAAACAAACTCGGGGCTCACAATCCCCGCGGGGGTTTGCCAAGAGAGGCTCATGGCTAAAACAGCTGTCGCAAAAATCCATAGCAAGCTCTCCATTTGAATGCTATAACCATCTCTTAGAAAGACGCCCCCGGCCATTAAGGTGTGAAGAGGACATTGGCTCACTAGCAAGAAAGCCAACAAGCACCAAGGCAATGCCCATGCTCCTAAAAGAGCAGACGCATGCCCAGGTCCACTGGCAGCAGAATGCTCTAAAGCGCTAGTCTGTTCGAGGTCCATCTTTAATGGGCCTGTGTAAGTGTTTTCCAGTTTTTGCGGTTGCATTGGCGTTTGCGCAAAAGCCAGCTCCTCGCACAACTTGGGGCTCTTTGGGGTCACCAAACCTAGGGGTACAGCTAATCGTTCCTCAAACGCACTTGCTCCTGGATTGATTCCGTAGCACAGTAGGCCTAAGAGAGTGATAAGCAGATACACTTCAGGTATCCAAGTAATCACGTTAAAAGTCATAATTTTTCACCTGTGTTAAAGGACCGGCTAGGGATTTGAGACTAAAGTGAGTCGAGGGCCGAAGGCCCTGGACCATGTCGAGGGACGCTTAGGTGGCCCTAGACCTAGAGCCTCAAGGCGTTCTAACCATGGTCCCAGGCTAGCTCGTCAAAGACGGCCTTGACATCTCTGATGTCGAGCTATCTTCGATAGCTAGGCCGTCGAAGACGGCCTAATCATCGAAGATGATTCGCCACCTAAGGTGGCTAGAGGGCCTAAAGGGCCTTCGATTCTCGACTTTCGGCCCTCTACTGTAGGTTCCCTCAGAAACCAAAAGGGTCTATAGGGCCTAAAGGCGAGGGGCCGCTTAAGCGGCCGCGAGGGCCTCTTTGGTGGCCCTAGACGGCCTTTGGCCCTAGACCCCTTAGAGGTCTTGGGCCACTTGGGTGGCCCACAGGCCTCCGGTCTTAGAAGGCCACCTTAGTGGCCTTAGAGGCCGCGACCTTGGTTCTAGGGTTGAAGGCCTTCGGGGCCCTAAGGGCCCCTTAGGAACCAAAGGCCCCTAGAGGGCCACCAGAGTGGCGAGGGCCCCTTAAGGGGCCCTCGTGCGCCACTAAGGTATCGCAAGACCCTTGGCCTTTGAGCTTTTGGCCTTCTGCCCTTTTAGTTGCCAGCCTTTTAGTTGCCAGCCTTTTAGTTGCCAGCCTTTTAGTTGCCAGCCTTTTAGTTGCCAGCCTTTTAGTTGCCAGCCTTTTAGTTGCCAGCCTTTTAGTTGCCAGCCTTTTAGTTGCCAGCCTTTTAGTTGCCAGCCTTTTAGTTGCCAGCCTTTTAGTTGCCAG